ACACACTTGAGATGCTTGGTTCACCCAATTTGTTGTAGAAATGTAACTTCTGTTGGTCTTGTGAATATTTACTGAGATGCTCAGTTTTGTCTAGCCAGGTCTTCCTGGCATGCTTTAATTATTAAATAAAGTTCTCATTGCGCTGGCAGAATAACAAAAGAAGTGTTCCAAGAAGAAGTGTATCTTGCTACAAATTTCATTTTGTAAAACATCAGGTGATTTTTTGTGGCCTCTAGAGCTCATACAAAATGTAAAGGTTTTCTTTTTCCCCTTCTTAATCAATAGCATTTGTTGCTGCCCGCTCTGCTATTGACCACCAGTTATTCCTACTCAGACCTATTTCCGAAGATCCTTCAGGCAAGGAATTTTAAGATATGAAGTGAACACACAGTTCTTCCAAATCCTAGTACATATTCCCTTTTGCCTATTAACATGATGCAGGAGGATGAAGCCTCTTACTCCCATATGAAAGGTTATGAAATTTATCCCTGTATCCCTATCCTTGCTGGCAAATATAAAGTTGAATAAATTCATACAGTAAAGTGAAAAACACATAAGATTACAACACAACAAGTGTAAGGAATGACAGAAAATATGTGCCAATGTTAGATAACCCCTTTCCTTGCATCAGAGAACTGCATGAAGATATTCATGTTTGCTAATGTCATTATTTAACAAACCTGCTTACAGATCTCTTTTTGCATTTGAGAAGAGTCACATAATTAACTCTATACTGAGAACAAATTTCAGAGTGATTCTGATTCTCCTCCAGGCTCAGCCAGGATTTATTGCTCTTTAGTCTGGTATGCTAGACATGCAAATCCTTAATACAAAACCAGCTACAGGTGACCTGTCACCACTTCTATTGCTCCTGAAGTACCTGGCTGCTGCATCTTACAGTATGGGATGCAGTGGAAGACAAAAAAAAATTTCCTTTGGGTCAGAAGTGCCTTCAGATGGTCATCTTAACTATCCAGGCTCTGCCAGCTGCTGAAGATTTGGTACCTGCTATTCTGCAGGTGCCTGCTATTCTGCAGCTGCAGCATGGTAAACGTTGGAATGAACAATTAAACATTAAGAGTCAAGGAATCTATGATGTATTTTTAGTTTTCGGTCAGRGGTGCCCCTAAAGCTTATCTCTAGCCTTCCATCTATTGCAGGTCATGATACTATAATCCCCTTGAGTCCCTGTAGTGCTGTGCTCCACCAGCAGCATTATGGATAGTGTGGAGGAAGACACCCAAAGCCTTGAGCAGATGAAGCCCATTAGCACAGGTTGCTTCAGTTTTAATAGGTCAAAGTGATGTCAGCTGGGCAACAGTCCAACATTTTTACAYGTCAGGCCCTTTGCCTTGAAGAAACTGATCGGGGATCAGTAGTGCACTCTAAAAGGGGCTGCTTACTTTATATACTTTTTGACTTGCAGGTTCAGCATAATTAGCTGCTAATCTTACTCTTGAGTCTCCTGTGTCTCTGCCACACTACATCCCATATGCTTCTCTCTCATTCTACCTCCTTCCTTCCAGATATCAGCTACACGTTTCTCCCCTCCAGTAGCATTTGGGTTGATTTTGGTTTTAGGTAACTTAAGTGCACAAAACAAAACTGCTTCCAAAAGGAGATGACAGATGTGCTCCACCAGCTTCACCAGTTCTTTCATTCTGCTGTTTCATTCAGCAGTGCCTGATGCAGCACTGGGATCAATACCCGGCTGTTAATGGCTGCACAGGCAAGCAGAACCCCAACCTTCCCCAAAATTAGGTASCTTTGCTATGCTTCTTACCAGCCTTTCCTACTACGAATGCACCACTTGAGAAGGCATCATCCCCTGCTCCAGGAACAGCACGCCCACTAAATTGCAATCGTACTAGGAAATTCTTACTCTAGAGTACCCACTACATCCAAGAGAGTCTCAAATCTACTTGGTTGCCTCTAGACTTTATTTCCTTCTCATCCTAAGRGCCAGAAAATGCAAGGTTAGAGAAGGAGAGCACAAGTATAAGGCTAGATCACAGCTGGAAACATAATGCCCTGATGGGAACAAATGTAATTTGGAATTCCCTCAGGAAACAAAGAATTGTTCTCAGCTATCCTTTGTACAGGGAGGTAAAAGACTAAATGCTGAGAAGTGTGTTCAATAAAAATACTCTCAAATACTTTGATACAGCTGGAATTACCTACAAGCTGTGCAGACTGTAGCACTGTCACTGAACCCTGCTGACAACCCCCCCACTTCCAGCCATCCTATGCCAGCAATGCTCTCCCCAGGACCCACATTAAGATATCCCCGGGGCCCACCTAAAGATATTAACAGCAATTCATCTCACAGAAGCCTAGTGCTAACCTTAGCTCATGGTAGTGGTSAATTCTGCCTTCTCACCCTACCTCTGCTCTGCACGAATGGGCTCTTACTAGGCTTCAACTATTTTCATAGTAAACATTTTGGGAAAAGCTTTCCTACGCCCTCTGCTGGTTTTCCAAAGCAGCCATTTTTCCCTGAGTATTACAACTCTTCCTTTAAAACTAGTAGGTTCTCATACCTCTCTTCCATTTTCTTTTGACTAAACTGCAGCAAGATACATAGGACAGAATCATGGGTGCAAATTATACCAATTACATCCTTCTGCCTCCCTGTCACCTATGTGCAAAATAACGACAAATTTTCATGTTTTCTTGCATTTTTTCTGAATTAGACTGTTCAGGGAATTCAGGCAAGCCCCATCTTCTCATAAGCAACAGGCTTCTTTGAGCAAGCATGCACAGTTCCAGGAGTTCCCTTTGGTTCCCGTTCACGAAGAGGAGAGCAGCAAACTCCACGCACCTTCAGCCTTAACCTTATGGCTACAAAGTAACTTGTCAATGGATCATGTCCTTGCATTTCTGCCTTCACTGTCAAGAATCCTTAAATACTTACCATTAAGATTTTAGCAATTGTACTAGGTTATGCCCAAGACTCTTCCAGAACAATTCCTTAGTTCTTTAATGTAAGTTTTGTATATTCCATGACTGTTCTGCAAAAGCTCAAGGCTGACTACTGCTCTGATGCTCGCTGGTGACTCATTCTGGTATTCAAAGCCAGTTTGGCAGGTTTCAGGATTCAGGTTACTAAGTCTTGATCCTTCAATTTCTGCATTTTTGTGGCATTTTATTTTGCCCTATGAGTAAAGACAATCTAATTTATCCATAAACATAAGACCTTTTGATAGTAACCTGTAACTTCAAAGAAAAATATTTGAGCAGTTCCCAATGGCCAGATGATGAGACTTGTCAAATGCAAGCAGGGAAAACCCTCAGTACTAGAAATCCATTCCATAATCACAAGCTGGGCCAGGTCATGACTGTARTAAGGGATATGGTGTCTAAAGACTGACACAGCTTGAGTCACAGAGCTGAGACCAGGTGTCTTACCTCTAACTCTGTGAGTGAATAACCCAGAATGAACCCTCTACAATAAATTCAAACGGACACTAGATCCCACAAGGGATATACAATGGCAGGAACTCTACCTTGTCAGGAAAAAGGAGGCACTCATGCATCAAACTTTAGTTTAAGGTTTTGGATGTGAAAACAGCCTTTCTTGAAAATTGTCTCTGCTTCAATTGTCTTGAATGTGCACCTTTAAAAAATGGATTAGCCAGTTTATTTACTAGATGTGGTGTCAAATCTGTAGCCTCCATTACTAAACAAGCTCCTTCTTCTCAGTAAGCACAGTAACTGTGAAAAAACTGTGAAAAAACTGTGATAAAAAGTGAAAAAACTTCCAAGGCAAGAGACTTACTAAAAAAAACAAAAACCACTAATAGGCAGAACACCACARACAAACCCCACACAGCATRYACCTCCACTGTGAAATAATAACTTYCCTAAGAGTCCCACAAATACACTACTCTCTCAGATGTGCTGACATGGCAATTCTTTTTCTGCTTGCAGGGAGACTAGAGAACTACTTCAAGGGGTCAGAGGACATTGTTAATAGACGGTCTCTCCCTACATTCTTAGTGGTAACATGCACACATAATTCACAAGAAAGGAAGAAAACTTGTATTAAAATCATACCAGTGAAAGCCACAACTCGGGAACCCAGAGCAATCCCAAATGCTGAAGTGTAACTTGGCTGTAGCCAGCTGCTTWCACAATGAACTGACAGGCCTGGAAMGAGCCATGTYCCTGTGGGATGCAGTCAGTGTCAGGCACACAACTCGGAGCATCGTGAGCCAGCCCACAACTCTGTCACTAAATGCCCACTCCTAACAGGAAGGTCAGAACTGGTAAAGTCATGGAAACTTTTAACATCTACACSAGAAAGATCAACACAGTGCTGCTACCTTTTTAACATGCAGGTGTTCTCTGCACCAGCCTGCAACAGTTCACCTGTTTAAGTGGGAGAGCCTGCCTGTTCTAGCCAATACATGTCTTGGGTCACTGCAAGATGATAACCAAACACCAGTATTTACTGGAAACAACACAAGTTGTCATCCACAGTATCTTTGGAGCTTTAAACAGGAAATCCAAAATTTTGATTGACATTCCTCTAAATGTTAGGATAATTTTGAGCAGTTTTCAAGAAATGAAAACTCATTAAATTTAATGTACAACACCTACAATGCAAATTACTAATCCAGGCCTGAGATGGAGCATTATGCAAGTACAGTTGGCTTCTGAGGACAGTATTAATCCTGCAGCTATGTTTTCCATCAGTGAATTTTTTCAAACAATGATCACTTAACCTTCCATGAATCTGCTCTCAAATTTTCACCTCAATAGTGCCAGAYAGAACTCCAAAACACCCAGGTAACAAGTCTAGCACCACAAGTGAAAACATTCGATACACTCCCTCTAAGGCATTTGGATCTAGGATCTTCTCATGGCCTCAACCAGTCTGTAGCACTGGAAGCTGAAGATGTTCATGGCAGTGTCAACTTCCCCCAGAAAAGGGCTGCACAAAGATGGGCAGTAAAACTATGCATGTACCTTCAGTCATAGCYATTACCACTTTGCCACACATTCCACTGAAGGTATTTTATTTTTAAGTTAGGCCAACCATTATTTCAGAAGAGATAAGTTCCCTGCCATTCTTCTTACACAGGAGGGCACACCAGCAAACACATCAGCATTTGATAGGTACCGAGTCCATTTTAATAAGTGAATCCACAACCCAGAAGCCATTAAATCCTCCTTCCCATAACCAGTTGTAYGCAGCTCTCTTGGGAACTCAGAATCTGACTTGCATCCGGAAATGCATCTGCTTTGTAGCRTTGTTGCTCATTCCTGTCTTGAGCATCCATTTTGACTTCATCCTCTGCAGGTACTGCATGTCCCGCTGCTGAACAGAGATGGCCCCTGCAGGGAGAGAAGGAAGAGATCAGTGTCTGTAGCCTTACTTACCACTTGTATGCAAACCAGCTGATCTGCCCACGTACTTCAGCAGTTACCTATAGGTTTTCCTTCCCATACTGGCACTCTGCTCTCCACTTTTCTCTGGGGAAAGGCCACTTCCCTCAACAAAYACCCATGACTGTGATTAAGGCAAAACGTTTTGCATTGCAAGCGTGATCCTTGTATTTTAAAAGTGGATATAGATGACACCACTGTTCCCCAACCGGCAAAGTATTCTGTCAAAGCATTACTTACATTATTAAATACCAAGAGCAGTTGTTTGGACAGACAGAAACCAAGAATCTTAGGAAATCACCAAATACAACAAACATGCATGCTAATGGAACAAAAAGCTTGCACAGAAGCTGCACTGGATTTTAGACACAAACTTCCTATAACTTCTTCTGCTTGAATGTCAAGAATTCAAAGGAACTGAGTGGATGAAAAATTACTGCATAAAACCCCACATGTAAAGCAAAGTCGACCTCTGGAATTGTAGAGTGATGACATCCCAGAGCCTCCTCCTCCACAAACCCCTCYTGCTGTCACTCACCTGCCTGCCCGGTCCAGCCCAAGGCTCGGTACCGCCGCAGCACCCGACCCACGGCTTTCTTGTTCTTCGCAACAGTCACGGCACTTGTCGCACCAAASCGCTGCTTGTAGTACCTCATCAAGGAACGGTGACCCACCCTCGCACCTGTTCATAGAAGTGGACATCTTATTATCCATCATGAAACAGCCTCTGAAATGGAGTACTCAAGCACATTGTGAAAACCGTGGAAAACCCCTATGCTGAGAAATGCTTCTAAAGGGTCCAGAACCTTAAGAGTGTTATGTTATTCTGTAGGAACTGCTTGATGAAAACACACAAAATGTGCTGCTGTTCAAGAGGGCCTTAGTTGAGATAACAGACAGTTATCAGAAAATAAAATTTTAATTAGTGGAATGAGCAGGGAGGCAATGCTGTTTCAAGTAAACAGTGAAGCCACTTSCTGACATTCAGGAAAACCTGTGTAACTCAAGAGTTGGCAGCACTTTTCAGAATGAAAGGCCTGAGGCCTCCTCAAAAAAAAATCAAACAACAAAAAAGCAAGTTAGAGTGTCAAATGCTGACCTAGAGAAAGGCAATTTAAATAAATGAATTTACTGAACTAGTTGASTGAATTTGGTAGGAGCTGGTTCTATACAAAAAAATTCCTACACTAGATAACCTAAGTTATAGCCTCTCCAAGCTTCACTAAAACAAGATATGGCAACTCTTGGAGTATACCATGAGAGTCAATAATGAAAAGATAAAATGTGCAAAGGAACCCCCTGCCCCAGTCCACAGATCCATCAATGCTGAAGCTGAACTACTTGCCAGTGAAAATAATGAAATGTGACRACATAACCCCAAAAATACTTAAAGGTAAAATTACCTTCTCCCTTCCCAATGGAAAACACAGCAATGGTCTATGCTGCAGGCACTGGCTGCACACATGGGAAGTGCAAATTAAGTATGTTCCAACACAAACCCAGTGCCTACCTGAAGGAAGGATCAGCTCCATGGTGTCATCATCATAATCCAAGTCTTTCTCTGCCAGGCACTTTCCAGGACCCTCCACATCTTCCCCATCCTCATGATCAGGGTAACTGCTCCTGTGAAAGAGCAGCAGTACATGGTTTATACACAAGAGAGCAGGCACAGCTACCCAGACCCACTCTACCAAAGGAACTAGCACGCACAGCTACAGCAAGGCACAAACGTTGTCACATTTCACCTGCCTTGGTTTGGGAGTTCCTCTGAGCAGCACCCAGCCCTGAAGAGAGCCTGGAGACAAGAACCCCTTCCCTCTACCCTGTTCGCAACCCAGCACGGTTCTGCTGCTGCACACTTAGCAGTGACTTAGGGCGAAAAGCAGTCATGAAGCAGCYCATGGGTTCTGCACAGCTACTGAATGAGAGTTCACAGAAGATCCAATAAGCCCACCAGTCACCATAATACAAAATATTTCTGACCAAAATGAACACAGCTGAAGGTAAGTTACAGGAAGTTCAACAGGAGGCCTCTAAATCACAGCARTCCTGTTAACTCCAGCTACACACCAAAAATTACGTTAAGAAATTCACAGTAGGTACTAAGTCCACATCTGCCCCAAAGGTAAGAGGTGACAGTGGTGCCCTTTTATAGCTTTTGCTTGGGCACCGAAATCTAAATTCTGTAACAGCAAACATACAAACAAAATACATTTTTTGTGAATTTCAAAATGTAGGACAGGTAATAGTAGTCAGATTAGAAGAGAACTGATCATGTTACCTTTATCTAGAAAAGTGGTGAACCAGCAATGTAAAATAAACATCAGAATAAACAAAATAAACAGAAACAAGACTAAATTTTAAGAATTAATTATAGTTTTGGAACTGTACTTTTGTCTGTCCCCATCTGTGTCCCATTCAAAGAGAAGAGTCCTCACCTAAAATCATAGAAATCTGCATATTCCAGGGCAGCATCTCCATCTGTGAAGAGTTTGCAGTGGCTTTTATCCTTCATGTGAGCCTGGACCGCTCCCGTAGAGTAGAAGGATTTCCCCTTTTCATTGCACCAGATGCAGATTTTCCCAATGCCAACTTTCTCTCCTGCAGGAAACAGTGTCACTTCTRTTGGTCTGAACAAAATCTCCCTAGTCAGTAATTAACAATTCTGCAACAAAGCCTTCCCAGCTTGCAGGCAGAGACAGCGAAAAGGAGCCTCAAGCCCTTCATTTCCAGGAAAGCCATGCTGTTCCTATGCCTCGACTGACCAGCCCCATCAGGCACATGTCCGTGCATTTAAAGATTTCTTGTGACAAGGTATGGATCATTCAGTATTCTCAGTAACAAATTTTGCACTTCCAATACRTTTTTCTTCCAATCTGATACACAAAAATTATTTTATTCTCACCATTATTTTTAGACTTGAAGGAAGATACATTTTTTCCTAGCTTTTAGCTCTCTCACAAGTATTGTAAACTAAGGAGAAAATACTTGTGACTCACTAGTAGGATAACACAGCTCATACGCACACTTTAGCAACACAACTTTGTCCCAAATTTCATGTTATCTGAACAACTTTCTCAACATGAGTAAACTATATGAGACCTAAAGGGCACACAATCACATGTGCTCAGCCAAATTTTCTCTTTCTCCCTGGAAAGCCTGTGGTCCTGCTCATGATCAAAATACTGAACTAGACAGCACTCAGATAAAAAAAAAAAAAAAAGCAACCCAAACCAAAACATTTGGTGTCACACCCAAACAAAAACCAACACTATCAGAATATAATTATCCTGATGAAAAATTAAAGAACATTTAGTCATACCAAGGTACTTGATTAGTCCTTCGAGATCCACAAGGTATTCTATATCTGGAATAAAGAAGCTGTGGATTTTGGTCATATGCTTTATATTTTTTGTGAGAGATCTTGAGTGATGGGGACAGAACAAGCAGTCTGTGACTGGAATGGCCCCAACAGCAGGAGTGCTTTCAGCCTCTGCCTGTTGTTCGTCCTCCTTTTCTTCTTCCACACTTTCCATTTCTTCATCAGAGCCAATGTCKTCATTAGAATCCATATCTTCCCAGTCTTTTAAAGGAAGTTTAAAAAGAAAAGATTATTGTATATGATTGCTTTTCCCAAGCAAATCAAGTCCCAGTTAAGTTAGAGAAAGCCATCACAGAAAATATTGCATTTTCTTTTCTTACAGCTTAGTGCCACACAGTCACTTACAGGTGCAAGAATTTACCACTGCCAGTCAAACAAGTTTCTTTTGAAGATGCACAGCAAAGCACAAGGTAGCTCACAAAAATGATGGCAGATCTAATACYTTCCCCTCTCCATTTTTGCAACTACTAACACTTCACTGCTGCTTCCAGGCCTTAAATTTAATTCACCACAGCACAAGAACACAAGCATGGCTCACTGAAAACAAGAAACTCTGACAGCATCAGGAAAATACTAATTTCCAGCAGTGAAGGAAAATACACTCCTGTTCACCAACTTAAAAGGAAAATTAACATTCAGAAACCTGCCGAGATTTTCGCAACACAATTTATGACTAACACATTAATACTAGACAGGTACAAGTTGGCTGCTTCTTTAGGTGTTAAGAGGTATGTTCAGAGGTAAATATTTCTTATGCAGAACAGATTCCCTGAATTTTCAAGAGCACAAAACTGCTGGAACAGATGCAGTAATGTGACACAGTGCTTTCAGAAGCTGGAATGAGGTTCCACTTCATTCATACCTGTCCCCTTGCTTCAGCTCAATTGGCCAATTCAACTGCTCCCATAGATGTGTTTGGAACTGCACTGTCAAATACAGCATTGAAAGCACGCAGGTTAAAAATAACCCTTTTCTGGAAATTCTGAAGCTCTGATCTTTTCAGTTGTCTGCTTTCCAGGCTGAACTCCAACACAGAGCTGTATTCAAAGGAACAGGCCTCTGGGGTGGCCACTTTTAAACTGATTTTATTGSAAATATCAACATGCTGAGAAGTAATGCCACACAGTCAGGCTGAAGAGCAGACTTTCTCCTCTGGTGTTGGTGAGCAGAGGGAAACAAAACAACCACACTGCACCTCCCTTCAACAGATCAGAAAATGAGTTGGGACAATAGCAAATGATCATTTGGATCATCCAGTCATGAACTGGATTTTTGTTCATTTTTCAGAAGTAGTTTTAGGGTAACCTGTTACATTAGACTTATTTAAAGGAAACTTCCTTTGAATCTTTATGTTGGAAATAGTGCTAATACTAGTGAATATTTATATTCAACCTTAACAAGCATTAGTGSCTATCTGCAAGCTGAACAGCTGGCAGTTCAGACAGTAAAAAAGTCCTTGACAGCCAACACGGGCTGTCCGGGTTCCAAACCTTAATTCCTTTGATAAACTGAAAACTGAATTAACAGCCAGACCTTTCATAATGGAAAATGATGCACTACTAAAGAAGGAGGAAGCTTTTGCACAATCCATAGCTTACCCCATGCTATCTCCTGTCAGTGTGTTTACTGCCTTACCTTCTTCATTATCCTCTTCTTCCTCTGCTTGYTGCTTGGCCAGCTTCCTTGCTTGCTGTTCAAACCACAGCAACCGTGGAGGTATTTCTGGTCGTTCTCTGCTCTGTGACAAGCTGGCACTTTCCCTGGAAACTGGAGAGCCACTTGCATTACTAGGAGGTAGAGGTGTCTTCTTTGGAGATGAAGATGGCTGGGCTCTGATGACTTGCTGAATAGCTGTGTTCATTTCATCTTTGTTTACACTCTCTGGGGCCAGCCCCTTTTCCAGGTTCTTCTCATTTAATATTTTTACCTTCTCACTAACAGCTTGAACAGCTTTCTTCTCCAGCTCCAGGTGCTTCTTGGACTTCAGGTGATTCTCGTAGGCATTGAAGGTGGAGAACCTCTTGCTGCACACTGTGCAGTAAGTGGCAGTGATTTTGTTCTGTTCCTCTGCTACTGCTCTCTGTGCCAGGACTCTCTCTTGGAAATTCTCAGCAGTGACWGGAGGCATGTCAGCAACTTTACGCTTCAGGTTGTATCTGTGCCAGTCGGTTTTGTAGTGGGCACGCTGAATGTCACCATCCTTGAAAGCCACACGGCAAGTGATGCAAGTGTAGGTAGCCATTACTAGAAAGAGAGAGAAAATAAAACCATGCTACAACTGCAGAGCACTGACCTGTCACTGATGCTGTTCTTTCCAAATCCATACATTTCCTTCCTTCTCAGTGCTTAATGAAACTTAGCTTTTCTTTTAAAACAAAATTGATGTGATCTCTTGAATGCTCCAAAAGCAAAGAGAAAAAAAAACATGATCTGGAGCCCACGGAAACCACCCTCATCTCTTAACTGATTTAGAAAAACTATGGCTTTATCTGGAAAAAAAAACCAACTAATACATTAGGATGAGGGGGGTCTGAAAGCAGGTAGAGGAAGAACAGCCCCTCCCTGAAGGTACTAACAGGGAGAAGTAGTGGCAGAAATCATAAACATGTAGAGTCAAAACACATGTTACAAAATGCTCTTTCCCTGAAACCACTGGGCTCCTTATTTACTACTGCTTGTGCTATCTGCAGTGCTACAGTGACAGGGGGATGCAGAAAATAAAGGGCATTATATTTTACTGTTAGTACTATAAACATCCACTCAGTGTAACAGGTGCTTTTTGCRTTTTAGAGAAAAAAGTTTTCACTGCTCCCTGAGGGATCCCGAGTACTCCCAGACRCATTCCCCTGCTACCTGCCTGTCCCTGTCCCTCCCCCATCCCAAGCACCAATCTTGCTGCCATAAACCACTGACGCAGAGCCGCGCTGGCTGTGAGTTACCAACCCCCCGCAGCAACCTGAGGCAAAACAGTGTTCTGGTCCATGACGGGCAGACRAAAGCTACACGTTACATTAACCATTTAAAAACACCCAACCTCCTCCCCTTCCCCCCACGTAAAAGAAGGCAGTGTTGCCTTGAAAGRYCAGTTTTTAATAATGACACAGACAMGGTTAAGGGGATMAAAAGGGTTTTACCTCGGTATTTGGGATCYCAGGTGCACAACTTGATGGCAGAATGCACACCCATGTACAGCACGGGTACAAGTTTTATAGGTTTCAGGAATTAGCATATCTATCTAGGATTCCCCAATAAGAAACTTAACAAATGCAGTAATGTCCCCCTATTCTAATGAGTCCCCCCCCAGATGAGGCCAGAGCCCAGTTTACACAAGATGTTCTGGAGAGAAGGCTTCACCCAAGGCTGGAGCCTCGGGTTTAAGATAGCACAGGGAACACTGACTCCTCAGGATGTTTGGTCTCTGCCCTGCAGAACTCCTAAACTAAGCTGGAATATCAAGCTTCAGGAATTACAAACATGTGGGCTAAGGGGTACAGGCGGATGCATAGAGGGTACAGAAAGCGTACAAAGGAAAAGCAAAAATCATCAGGCATCAGCAGCTCAGAAGACGTGTGTAAGTAATAGAAACTAAAGCCATAAACCTTCACCTCTGACCACGTCTGCATGGACACGTGTTTAAACGCAAACTGCATGAATCAGAGAAGGCCCCGGCAGAATCCCGTGTAGTTACACAACACCTCCCCATGACCCGCCTGCATTTCCCCATCCCGCTTTAAGGCACAGGACCCGATTCGTACCTTGCGTGGGGGTCAGAGAAAGGAACCCCCAGGCGCTCACAAGCTCGCAGCACAGCCAAGCCCTTCCGGACAAGTCGCGATCTCCCCTGAGGCTCCTTATTAAGGCTGATTTTTAGCTGCCTTCGGTTGAATTTAAACTGAGCACAAGGCAGATGTTTATTACATGGACAACAAAAATCAATCCGGGCAAAACCTATAAATAAATAAACAAACAGGTATTAAATAAAACAAGAGATAAGACGGGGGCGCGGGCGGCAGCCGGGAGCCTCCAGGCCAAACGTGGCCCAGGCCGGGCTCACAGGAAACCTCCGCCCCAAGGGCCTGCAGCCGGTTCGGCCGGAACGCACCGCCTCCCGCCTGCCCCGCCACTCGAGCCGAGGCGAGCCGGGCGGGGCGGAACCGAGCCGA